GCTACCGGGGGATCCCCGCGAGGGGCTCGGAAAGCTAGCGCCGTTACATCATATAGGACTTTGCTTCTGTATTCATGGCCAAGGATGCGAGGAAGGCGAGCCTCTATACCCAAATGTGATTCACAGGTGTTCCGACTCTGATCCCAAGTCTTCACGTGCCTTCCCTGCAGTTCCACACAGTCTCCTTTGCGATGAGTGCACCTTTCCCGCAACCTTTGCGGTGCGCGGGGGCAAAGAAGGGGGCAACCTCAAGTGCTTTTGCGGTGTGCATCGCCTGTTCATACCTGGTTGCTTCAAGGTTGAGACGGCCCGGGCAGGTGAGTTCTATGCTGCTGTTGTGTCGGCGCGCCGTGGCCTCCACAATTTGAACCCTGCACGGGTCACTCGTCCTAGAGCTGTGCTAGGTCCAAGCATGCGAATTTGCAAGTTTGCAAGTGTACATAATGGTTATCGACCACAAGCCTGGACCTGTTGTGCATGTAAGCGCTCGTCACTTGGAAAAACATGTTCTTCGTGCCCTTTCTTCAGAGTGGGCACGTGACTGCGAAGTGTTCAAGGTAAAGAAGGAGCTGGCGCGGGCGCTTGACGAGGAGGCGCGGCTCAAGGGCAATCGAGGTGAGGGTTTGTAAGCCTCCGGACAGTGCCGCAGAAAAAACGTGCCTCTTGCTTTGACGATCCTTGATTCGGTCCAGCTTGGATTCTGCGGCCAGTGCAACTACGGAAAGACTGTCAGGCTCTCCTCTATGCTGCCTCCCGTTAACCCTGAGAATGCTCATAGAGCTCGGAACCATTTGAGCTTGGCGCTGAGTCTGCTGCGAGTTCTCTATGTGTCATGCTCGGTCCAACCACCTTCTCTCTTCTCCACAGGTTGCAAAGGTTGCAACGATTGGCAGCAAAACGAATGCTGGTGGGATCCAACTCCCAAAAGCAGAGACCTGATTGGTAAGTCATTCTCTGGACGAGTCAATTCTGGCCTCATTCTGACGGACAAGAGGTCAAGCCTGGGCACCAAGTCTAGCGCGTGCCTGGTCACTCATTTAGGAGAGACAAAGTCAGGTCCTTGGTTTGCTCAACCTGGTAGCAGGACACTCAATTGGAGACTGATCCAACTTGTTCAATTGCAAGAACTTTTGGTGAAAGCTGCCTGCTTCTGCGTAGCCGCTCTCCTTCGATGGTCGTGTGACCGGACAAGGGTCCCCAGGGGCGTATGGACGTCGGAAAGTATTCTGTCCGTTGCCCTTTTCTGCAGAAAAGCTCTTGATTATCGGCGGGGTTGAGAGCAATCCGGGATTCTCATCGACCGAAGGGGACCGTCCCCTAGCATCAGGAGGGGACACCCAGTGGACGACGTCGGCGCGGCCGGAGTAGTCGCTCAGCCGCCTCTTCACGATGTGAGCAAGCACCCGTCCGGGAGTGCTTTCAGAGTGATTATCGTTGTTGGATCAGGCCCCAGACAATTTGCACTGCCTTGAAGAAGTGACTGTATAGAAGCCGAAGTGCAAATTGACGGCAGCGGTCGGCTAGTGTTTCTGGATCAGGGCCCTGACAATTTGCACTGGCTTGAAAAAGCGATTGTATAGAACCCGAGGTGCAATTTGTCAGCCCATGCATCTGGCTCTAGATCACGTTGGTTTCGAGGCAATGCGCAATTGATCGCCCCTCTGTCCACATAAACCGACTCCCAACGACGCTGTGTGCCGCTTTAGAAACGTCAAACGCCCAAGCTAGGGTCGAAGTCCAACAGATTCCGCGCGCATCTTTGTTGCAGGCAAGAGACCGCCCTGAGGATTGGCAACACGCCAGCGGAGACCAGTCGCAGGGATTGGCATCCGGTGTCGGCACGAAGAGGCCGCCAGAGCAGGTAAAAGCCCCACCCACAGGTTCACTGTAATTCCCTCCACGAGTTTTTGAAGCTGCGTTTCGTGATCAGGCTGCCAAGATTTGGTCGTTGCTTCAGGAAGCTGGTCAGCACGTGGGCCTGAATCGCATCATCCAACTTATTGGATAGGGGCTTGTGTACAGGTGTCAGCAGAGGCAGAACCGCCGAGGAGGAGGGGGAGGAGGAGACTCGTCAAGGCTCTCTGAGCTTAGGGGCGAAGCCCCTGCAGACCTTCGCACAGGCAGCGTGACCGAACCGATTTCTGGCGCCCCCATACAGTGAGCACCTATGCTGGGATCCATTCAAGACACGCATGGCGCATGAAGTCGCGCATCAGTCTCTGTCAGTTGCCTCTACGGAGCTTGAGCTCGTCACAGCGGGGCTCTTTCAGTTATTGATTGCTTGTGCATCAAGTCATAGGTCTGTATGACGGACCCTCTAAGGCTTGCTTTCCTTCTCTTCGATATCAGGAAAGTGGAAGACCTTGAGGAGGACCTCAGTGGATCGTTCGAGCGGGCCGCGGGCAGCCGCCGCGATGGGCGCAGGGCCATGGAGGAGCAAGTGGTTGCCGACTTCTTTGCAGAGCGCAGGCAGCAGCGAGAGGCTTGCGAGGCAAGAGAGGAGGAGACATTTGGCCCAATCTCCTTACCAGAGCGACATGATCGACATGATCTGGACGATCAAGAAAGGTGAGGCCCTGCTCTAGTATCCACTGCCTCCTTTAAAGGCGCTGTAGGCGATGAAGTCTTTTATCATGATCAGATAACAGGTTCTGCTCTCGCCCCCAAGCCGACCGCTTTGTTTCGATGTTTTGAATCGGGCCCCAAACCCAATTCTGGACTTGGTCTCGAGGTGTGCCCATTCGTCTCCGCCCGCTTTTGCAAAGTGGGTCATCAGAAGTTGATCGCTTCTTCCTACTGCAGCGGTGGTGCCGGGGCCCGAGAGCAGGAACTGCAGGGAAGGCGTAGCCCAGCAACCCCAGCTCCCGACCTGGTGAACCCGTTGCTTCCTTCCAAAAACTATTGGTGCATCTCCATTCTCGAGTCTGTGGACGGTCTTTTGGTGTTTCACTTGCATGATTTTGCGCTCAAGGCAAATCTGGCACGATCATGGCACTTTGACAAGGCATGCAGCAGCAATGCTTCAATTCCTCAATGCTTGCTGGAGTATTTTGCCTACCACCATTGGGCATCCTGACCGTTGCGGTTGCTGGTGCTCGCCCAAGGTTCACCCACTTTGCAATCTCGTTGCCCTTTCAGGCACGGAGCCAGGAGAGCGAAGCAAGGACGTCGACGCCGGGGGTCCAAACGACTGGTCGGCCGGCGTCGAAAAAACGACGGTAAGCTCTTTGACCCAGTATTTCTGCTCTAGACTTGTCATCTCCGACACAAAGGTGACGCTTGTGTGCTGGATGCCGCCAATTGCTCCCTTAGGTACCGCGAGCGTCAGGGGCGTCAAGGGTATCACTTGATTTCCCCAGAGTTCTTCCAAATTCCATAAGTGGCGAGCCGTCAATCGACAGTAGTCAAAATGCGTACAGCGTCTTGATACGCTCCTTCTTCTTCCGCATCTGCAGCAAAAAGGCGAAAGCGAATCCTGTCCCCATGGACGAGGCGGCTCGGGAGGCCGGTCGAGCGGCTGCGGCAGCTCATCTCCAAGCTGTGGGGGCATTGAGGCCCTCGAGAACGCAACGCGAGGGGCAAGCCGTTCATCAAACGGAGCTGGGTGATTTTGAAGGCCCGCCTCCTGCACCCCCCCTCGTAAGTTGCCATGGAGAATGCCTTTTTCCTGCAGAGGCCGGAGTAGACTTCTGTGTGCGCATCTGATTGCCGCTACTGACCTCGCTTGATTAGCTCGTGCGAGCTCTAAGTTTGACTTCGACTTAGTTCCACCAGACCTAGGCTGTTTTGGGGGGCGCGAGGTTGTTTTCGGGTCTGCTCTGGGCACCTGATTTCGAAGCCGTGGTCAAGTTGATTGAGGTCGCAGGCAGGCTGTTTTGGGGGGCGCGCTTAGGTTGATTTCGGGTCTGCTGTGGGCCTGGTTTTTGGGGCTGGTTTGGGGCCGCGGTCAAGTTGGTCTTGGGGAGCGCAGTCAGGATGTTTTTGTGCCGCAATTAGGCTGGTTCCGGGTCTGGTCCGGGCCTGATTTGGGGCTGATTTCGGGGCTGGTTTGGGGCCGCGGTCAAGCTGGTCTTGCGGGCGTGGTCAGGCTGACCAGTTCTGTGCTGTGGTCAGGCTGGTTCCGGGCTTGTTGGTTTGCTCTTGGCCTGGTTTGGGGCTTTTTTTGGGGCCGTGCTCAAGCTGATTTGGAAGCGCACTCAGGCTTGTCTTGTGCCGTGGTTAGTTGGCAGGCAGCCCCGTGTAGCTGGCGCGCTTTAATCTGAAGTTAAGTTTCAAGTGTTGTCAGCCATGCGGCTTTGCTGACAATAGGGGCGTTGTAGGTAGCAAGCCTCATCGCTGCACAACCGACCAAGTTCGAACCCCTTCTGTTGTCTTTTTGGCACAGGCGCTGGTGACGGACGCTCCCATTTCAAACGTCGGGGCCCTGGTCGACCGCCTGAAGGCCAAGCGGGACGCCGAAGAGGCGGCCGCGCGAGAGGAGCGGCTCAAACGCTACGGGCGCACGCGACCCCTAGGGGCTCCACGTGGGACGGGGGATTATGCCTCGGCCCGGGCCCTGGACCAGGACCCAAGCCCCTCTTCCCCTCTGCCCTCTCTCGTCCTTCCTTCCCAGGAGGAAGACCCCGCCCTGAGCGCAGCGCAGCCCCCCACAGCAGCCCCCTCTTCACTGGTCGCGGAAGATGAACGGGCCCCGCCGTCGCCGCCGCCGCCGGCCGACCGGCCCCCCGTAGACGAAGATCCGGGTTCGGTTTCCCTGTCGCAGCCCCATGAGCCCCCCTCCCACGCCGGGCACCCACCCTCTCCCCCCCCCGCTGACCAGCCCCAGGAGCCCCTTGTCATAGCCCCGCTTCCCGACGAAAACCCACGGCCCGAGGTGGTCCCCGGTCAGCCCCCAGCAGTCGCACTTTCCCCTCCCTCCGCCCACCAGGAGTAGGCGCCCGACGACCAGGCGCTTGCAGCCGACCTGTCAAACCAGCCCTCGAACACAAGTCGGCCCACTACAGCTGAGCCGTCCGCAGAACTGTCGTCCGCACTTCCGCCCACGGAGGC